AGGGGAAATCGACTGTGGTTCTAGCAGAGGTGCAACTGGAAATGGAACAGGCATAGTCAAGGGCCCTGTGAAGCAGCAATCCTCGGATAAGGAAACAGCAGGAGTTGGAGGGTGGCACTGTCAGATCAGCTGTGACTGAAAAGGCAATACTGGACAGATGGACGAGCAAGGTGTGATGAAATGTGGTTGTGGATTCTGATTGACAACCGATCCCAAAAAAAGGAGACAGAGGAGACAAGGAGGGAGGGAAAGGTCAGCGACAGGGCATGTAAAGGCAAAGGACGGATAGAAAGTGGAAGCAAACTGGGTGAAATTTTCCGATTTGCTGCAACAGCAGTAAATTGCACTGACACAGTCATAACTGTACCAGAAGAAAAGGCTGAGAGAAGGGAACTTGAGCAGGACTAGGACAAGGAATAACCACAAATTCCACACTGAGGCAGACAGAACTCAGAACCATATGGGTTCCCATAGAAACATCTCATATTGGAGGAAGTGAACGGAGTTAAAGGAGAAAGTTGTTCCGTGTGTTTGAAGATTCAAATTTGGTAGCTCTTATGCAAAAGATTTTGAAATTTCAAAAAGAGACATAGTTTTAGCAATAGAATTACAAATGCCTATTTTCTATTTTCTATTTTTAAGTTAGTGTAAATGTCTCAAGTATTGAGAATCTGCAACACCAGATGCAGGATAAGATATAGGGACAAAAACAGAAATTGCTGGAAAAGCGCAATCGGTCTGGCAGCATCTGTGGAGAGAAATCAGAGGAAGGGTCTGAGGAACAAAGACTGAAGGAGAGTCACTCGACCCAAAACGTTAACTCTGATTTCTCTCCACAGATGCTGCCAGACCGATTGCACTTTTCCAGCAATTTCTATTTTGTCTGTGATTTACAGCATCAGCAGTTCTTTCAGTTTTTATTCAGGATAAGATCGAGTTTTATTGTGAAGTACTTAACACTCCAGATGATGAGATTGCAATTTACTGTGATGAAGTGTGAACTGGTGCATTTTGGGCATTGAATAAGGAAGGAGAGTGTAAACAAAATGGTGTAATTTTGAAGAGAATGCAGGAATTGAGAGACCCAGTGGTTCTTAAGCACAAATCTTTCTTCAAAGGCAACACAGTTGAAAGGATTTTTTTTTTAAACCTTTGAGAAATAATCAGAGAGATGTGAGGAAAAAGCAAGGACATTAAACCAAACAGTAATGTGTACTTACTCTCAAGTCTAGCCTGAGCTCTCACAAGAGAATATTGTGCATCTCAGATGTAATTTTACTAGCTAATAGGTACAATGTAATAAATCTTCACTGTTTGGCAGGGCCAAGTCAATCTTCTGACTTAGGGCTTCCTGTGCCACTTGGGCTAAATCACATGGACGAACTCCAATAAGAAGGACCGGTGGCTGGGAATCTATCCAAAGCATTTCAGATGGTTCAGGTGGACACAACCACAATATGACAGAGCCCACTGTTGTGGAGTGACTAGAACAGCTGAGATTGTTTTCCAGAGCAAAGCAAATTCAGGGGAGATTTGAGAGAGATGTTTCAAGTTCAAAGGAATTTTTGATGCTGCTCAGCGAGTAAATCCAGAGGACAGATGTAAGACAACTGGCAAAATAAACAGTGGGAAATTGAGGAACAGTCATCTAAAATTCTCCATCGAGAGGTTGGTGGAAATGGATTCAATAACAACTTTCAGAAGGAAAGTGGATTTTTTAAATTTCATTTGTGGGATGTGGGTGTCACAGGCTGGTCAGCATTTATTACCCATCCTTAGTTGCCCTTGAGAAGGTGGTAGTGAGCTGCTTTCTTGAACTGCTGCAGTCCTCCTGCTGTGGGTTGACCCACAATGCAGTTAGGGAGGGAATTCCAAGATTTTGACCCAGTGGCGGCGAAGGAACAGCGATATATTTCCAAGTCAGGATGCAGTGTGGCTTGGAGGGGATCTTTCAGATGGTGTTCCCATGTATTTGCTGAGCTTGTCTTTCCAGATGGAAGTGGTTGTGAGTTTGGAAGGTGCTGTCTAAGGATCTTTGGCGATTTGCTGCAGTGCATCTTGTAGATAGTACTTACTGCTGACACTAAGCGTCAGTGGTGGAGGAAGTGAATGTTTGTTGGTGTGATGCCAATCAAGCAGGCTGCTTTATCTTGGGATGGTACCAAGATTCTTGAGTTTTGTTGGAGCTGCACCCATCCAGGCAAGTGGGGAGTATTCCATCACACTCCTGACTTGTGGCTTGTAGATGGTAGACAGATTTTGAGGAGTCAGGAAGTGAATTACTCACTGCAGGATGCCTAGTCTCTCACCTGCTCAGTATTTTTATGGCTAGTCCAATTCAGTTTTTGTTCAACGTTAACCTTCCAGGATGTTGATAGTGTGGAATTCAGTGTCAAGGGGTGATAGTTAGATTGTCTCTTATTGGAGATTGTCATTGTCTGGCATTTACGTGCCAGGAACGTTCCTTGCCACTTTTTAGCTCAAGCCTGAATATTGTCCAGATCTTGCTGCATTTGAACATGGACTGCTTCAGTATCTGAGGAGTCACGAATGGTGCTGAACATTGTGCAATCATTGGTGAACATCCCACTTTTGACTTTATGATAGAGAGAAGGTTATCGATGAAGCAACTAAAGGTGGTTGGACCAAGGACATTACCCTGAGGAACTGGGGCTCTTGTGGTACAGTGGTAGCGTCCCTACCTTTTACACAGAAGACCGAAATTCAAGTCCCACCTGCTCCAGAATTGTGTAATAACGGCTCTGACCAAGTTGATTGGAAAATATCTACCCTGAGGAACTCCTGGAGCTGAGATGACTGACAACCACAACAGAACTATCTTCTCTTGTTCCTGTTAGACTCCTTGAAAAGGAAAGGACTGCAGGGCCAAATGGGAATGGGCGTGAGACTGACTGGATACATTTTACAAAGAACCAGTGCAAACACAGTGGGAAGAATGGCTTCCTTTTGAACTGAAGACTTCATGATTGCTGTCTTTTCTATCTAACTCTGTATGTATCGCCCAACTTACACTATCGCTATCCTCCTCACTGCCACCCACAATGTACCAGGATGTAGGGCTGAAGATTACAGAGATGCGGAGGGATGAGACCAAAAAGGGAATGTGAAAGCAAGGATGATAATTTTAAAGACATCACTTGACCAGGGGCCAGCTGCAGAAAACCAGCACTGAGCAACTGTACAATCAAAATATCAACGAAAGCACACTGTGTGCCAGCCCACTGTTGAAAACTCCTGCTCCCTTTGCTTTCCCCCCACCATGGGAAATATGCTTACTGTTTTTGAGAAAAATCAATTAGCTTACACATAATCCATCCTAAAGGTAAAAATCATCTTTGCATCTTGAATATGAAGGATTCTTTAGCTAATAAAAGAAAGCCATGGTGCCCTGTTTTAATAGGAGCAGAGGTCACACTCCACGGAGATCCGATAGCATAGTAATGATGCATTTACAAGACACAGGCTCCCAGCATCTGCTCACACGTTGTAACTCCACATCCTGTTCAAACCTGGTGGAAATGGCCAGTCAATGTAAAAGGGGGAAGTGAAGACTGCAGGTATGTTGTTCAGAATAGAGAAGAGAAACAGCTTAGACTTCCACTTTCCATCCAGAGAGATCATTCCAACCTCCACTCTCAAGGTATTTGCACCATGAGGCTTTCCATGCGTGTCGAAAAGACAGTTCCATGCGTGTCGAAAAGACAGTTCAAAACCTCAGCGAGCCCTTTAGCACACCCAATTTGGTTTCAAGGCATTTCCTGTTGAAGATCACAGTTAACAGCCACCAAGTAGAAAAGGAACCAGGTGGTCAGTATGTGAATTTAGATATCACCTAATCCCTCAATGTAATTGTCACACCACAGGCTGCAGTGTCGTTGTACATGGCTCCTGATTTCACACAGATAATTAGTTACTTGGCCAGAAACTGTGTGGTCTCTAATTAATGTGAGCGATCAATGAACTTATCTATACATTAATATTTGCTATTTTACAAGAAACCTTAACATCTATTTTAAAACAAGTCAGCACTTCCTTTCAAAGCTAAAACATGTTTGTTGCTATTGTAAACTGGAGCCTTGGTGTTGCTTTCAGGAATCATACATTAGTGCAGTTTAAAAAGAATTTCTACATTATTTTTTTCCTGTCTGCCGCCATTTAACAAATATCCTTTTCCAAAAGAATTCAAGAATCTACTCGGATACTGGGGGCACAACTTTGAAGGCCCTTTTCATAAGTCGGGCCTCGTATGTATAAGGACACTGACTGGATCACATTATTTTCAGTCCATTAATAAATATCAAAGGTAAAAAAAAATGACAGGCCACCAGCCTTTGAGCAATGCATCACATGCCCAAGACTCGACTTTAAGCCAACAGTGGAACTGTAAGAACAAAAGTGCTGGAAGCTATTTGGCCCATTGACCAATGCTAGCCCTTCAGCTGGGGTTATTTATTCCAATCCATTATCCAACAGTTCCTTCCAGTTTCTGTACACATTGTGAAAATTTCAGAGTAGGTTGTGGGGCATGCCTATGACCCCATGCAAAGTATTTCTCCTGCCCCGACTCTCCAACCCCTCAACCTCCAACCACTGCCCCAATTAATTCAAGCATTATTAACCTTGAGGCACGTCAATTTACATGGTTTCCCAGTCTCGATTCCTGTTTCAGAAAAAGTGGAAAGCTCATGCAAATTGACAGTATACCAATTGACGTTTGACCTTCTGAAACCCCCGGGGGGACCATCCAGACTTGGAAAGTCGCTGCTTTGTCCTTCAGCACGTGCAGAGTTAGCCCATTTTAGCTAGCATGGCAGTACGATGCCAGCTCAATGCCAACCAGCTCACACAAAACCCTTCATTGGGGATGCAAACATGAAGACAAAGTCCATTACTAAGCTGGCTGGAATCACCAAACCCACACACACAACCCTCACTTCAGTATCCGACCACCAATTTAAAGAATAAGCAACAAGAAAAAAGGCATTTATAACATTTTATTAAACAAATCAATCCAAAATTCCCTAAAAAAAAGTTAAATGACAACTAAAACTTGTCTGGATGAGCTTTCATTTCTTCTTTGATTCGGTTTTCCACCTGCAGTGAGAGACTGGTGTTGGTGCTGGGCAGGTTATAACTGATGAAAACCTGTTTTCCTGTCTTCTTTGCTGCATGGTACATTCAAAGGAACAAATTGGAGCACAGTTAAAACCTGATGTGGAATACGGATTCTGAGTACATTTCAATTGCTTAGCATTTGACATTCATATGTAACTGGGGTATTTGCTCCTCATCTAGAAGCAATCTCGACATGCAAACCATCAGTAACATACTGCACTGCACAGCACATTTATTGTGAATTAGAAGCTGACTGTCAGTGTCTCTACTTGTCACAAATGTGACCAAGGAGTGCTTTCTGTTCTCCCCCATAATAGGGGCAGCATGGTGGCTCAGCGGTTAGCACTGCTGCCTCACAGTACCAGGGACCCGGGTTCAATTCCACCCTCAGGTGACTGTCCACGTGGAGTTTGCATGTTCTTCCTGTGTCTGTGAGGGTTTTCCACCAGGTGTTCTGGTTTCCTCCCACAGTCCAAAGATGTGCAGGTTAAGTGGATTGGCCATGCTTAAAATTGCACATGAGGTGTAGGTTAGGAGGATTAACCATGGGGAATGCAGGGTAGGGGTGGGGGGGTGGGTGGGATGCTCTTCAGAGGGTCAGCGTAGACTTGATGGGCCGAATGGCCTGCTTCCACACGGTAGGAATTCTATTCTATTACTTGTCTGGAAATGCAACCTCTTATTGCAAGAAATGCAGATTTACTGCTTAACTTGTACCTCCACCACCTACACATTGTGCTACAGAGCCTTAGTAATGCTCTTCAGTCCAGATACAACCCTCACTAATGAAGCTGTTACTCGAGAAGGCAGGATCTTGTCTGTCTTTTACTGCCTATGAAGATACTCTAGAGGACCAGATAAGTAGGTGGGCACTCTCATAACAGTTTTTAAAATGGGATTCATCCCACTAAAACAAATGACACATTCACACTGAAAAGGAAATGAAGTGGCTAATCACACATTGTAATATATTAAGGCAATTGTAAAAATCAACAAAAGTAATAAAGCAGATATAAATGACATATTTTAACCTGATTTTAAAAAATGAAATGAAAGGAGGTTAATAAAATCCCACAAGATTAATCAGTTGCTGACATTCTCTCTTCTTCCCATGGCCCCAGTTCCAACAATTTCCTGGATTTTTTTTTTAAATGAGCACAGCAGTGGGTAAATTCACTCTTTAATTTCCCCAGTTTCCCAGCCAAAACAATCTCATCTCTATCTCAGTCGCCATGGGATTACACTTCAAATGTGGGGTTCAAGGAGGATAAACAGAAAGGCAGAAAATCAACGGACTCTTTACAAATTGAGAAATCTAGATAAAGGGCAAAACTTATCGACATCTCAAGCTTGAACAGTGAATCAAACAAACAAAGGGAGGTAGGGAGTCACACTTGCCTGGAGTGCTGCTGCAACAACACTCAACAAACACTCATCCCTGGAACATCTGGACATCAGCTTGTTTGGGACCACATCCATCACTTTCAACATTCATTCCCTCCACCACTGACACTCCATAGCAGCAGCATGTACCATCTACAAGCAGGCACTACAGAAACTTGGCAAAGCTCCTTCAGCAGCACCTTCCAAGTTCACAAGCTCTACCATCTAGAAGGACAAGGGTATATGGGAACACCACCACTTGCAAGTTCCCCTCCAAACCCCGCACTATCTGGACTTGGAAATATACCCCCGTTCTTTCAGAGTTGTTGGGTCAAAATCTTGGAACATCCTTTCTAACAACATTGTGGGCCTGCTCAAGCACATGGAATGAGCATTGATTTTGATGGTATTGTCAAAATGGAGACAGTCGAGAAAGAGTAGGAGAGAGAAGACTGGATGGTTGGGAGCTAAAGGCATGAACTGATTATCTTTTGGATGTCAAACTTTAATCCTATCCTGGCCAGGGAGGTGTGAGAAAAGGTTTGAAGAAACACTAAAATGTATAGCCTTAATGTTAGCCTGTCCTCCGTCTCAACTGAGTGGACACAAGGATTCTTTTTTATCTAGACAACAAAGACTGATGCTTTAAACAATGCAAACATCTAGTCATTGGCCCAAGAAGGTTTTAATGGGATTGGGTGTTGTGGCAGAACAGGAATGATGATTGCATAAAGGGAACAAGAAAAACAAAACGAAAACAAGTTGCAATATTTTCCTGGATTAAGAAACATTCTTACCTAGCCTTTGTGCCACAGAGTTCGGAGTGGTGTCAGAGGAATCTCCAAGCATTAATGTGGACACTGGCATTGGGTCCTGCAAATTAGCAAAGTTATATTCCCATATTTACATATTAGACGTTAAGAATTTGAATGTCGATAATAACCACATGCTTGTTGTTTCTCCTTACATATTTGTTTGTAGGCTTTGCTGGTTAACCTAGCATTTATTGTCCATCCCTAACTGTCCTCATAAAGGTGGTGATGAACCAACATCCTGAACCATTGCACTCCACATGGATTAGTTACACACAAGGAGCTCTCTGCCCATACTGAACAGACTCCTTTATCTGGAGTGTGCAGGCACAAGAAGGATCAGAAGTGCTGTCGTCACAAAACACTCGGCAATTTATTTGTGTATTATCCAATAACACAGACAGCAAATAACTTGTGTGATAGTAACCAAAGTCCAATTCGTCCCAAAATCAGAATCATTTTCTCATCAAGGTCCAGATTTATCTGGAATCCGGGACTGATGAAGAACTAGGGACTTTTACTCACTGAAAGCTACTGCAACTTTAGGAAGCTAGGCAGTTCAACACCGAGATGCTAACTATCAATATCAATTAGCATCCCAACATTGTGGACCTCCCAGAGCCAGCGATCATTTAAAAAAAATCAACAAGAATTTCAACTTTTGCACCCCACCCCCGCACCGCTGCTGTTTAATTCCTTAAGTTACACTTTCTTCAACCATGCATTTTAATTTTTGTTTTCTTTATTCATTCACGGCATGAGGGCATCGCTGGCTCGGCAGCATTTATTGCCCATCCCTAATTGCCCAGAGGGCAGTTAAGAGTCAACCACATCATATTACATTATGCCAATGAGGAGAAAACATCTGAAGTTTCTGGTTCCACCATACTTCCACTGGAAATCATGTCTGATACTATTATTGGGTGCAGGGAATGGAAATTGTTGTACTCCACAGCATAACATCCGCCATCCCAATAAAATGCACTTTACTGATCCACAAATCAATGGAAGTAATCATTAAGGAACACCTTGTAGAACATTATTTTAGAACACTATTTTAACCAGTGCAGCAAACTTCTGGGAGTTTTTTTTTAATAAAATGAAGCAACTTTGAGAATGTTATACCAATTGTTGGTATATTTTCAGTTACAGAATGAGCAAGCTGAAAAACAAAAAAAATGTCATACAATACAGCAAGCAGAGGAATGCAGCTCAGGATCACTTTACTGAGCTGTTTCTTTCCTCAACAGAAGAAAGAATATATTATTCCTTCACTCTGGGATCTGATGCCTGCAAGTGAACTTATTATTTGCTCTATTTCTTTTACTCTGGAATAGATCTTCACCTGCCTCTCACCACACCAGATAAAACAATCAGTTTCTTAGCTTCAAGCTAAAACGCCCTTGGTATGGTGCCCAAAAACAAGAATCAAGAACAGTCCCAGAATAACCATCTTGGAAGTTTTTCTTCCCTCCAACAGGAAGTTATTGTGTGGGGAAATCATAAACAGATGAGGAAAGGGGAGATGGCCTAGTGCTATTATCGCTGGACTGTTAATCCAGGGACCCAGGTTCAAATCCCACCACGGCAGATGGTGGATTTTGAATTTGAATTTTTAAAAAAAAATCTGGAATTAAGAATCTAATGATGGCTGTAAATCCATTGTTTGAAAAACCCATCTGGTTCACTCATGCCCTTTAGGGAAGGAAACTATCATCCTTACCTGGTCTGGCCTACATGTGACTCCAGACTCACAGCAATGTAGTTGACTCTGGGCAATTAGGGATGGGCAATAAATGCTGCTTAGCCAGTGACGCCCACATCCCATTAATTTTAAAAAAAATTCTGTCTGCGGGTGACAGCTCGCTGAGGGTTTGGTACCAAACATGCTAACTACTTTCTGTACAATCTATAAAAAACAACTGCATATAGCATACTACAGAAAAACCATTCTGTTGAACCTTTCAAGCCACTGTGTTTTTAGTACTGTACACTTCAGAACCCTCTTCATCAAAATGTTTCCTGATCTTCCCCCTTAATTCTTCAGATGCTAAATCCAAAACAGAAAGCACATACTTGACACTGTAACTGAAGTGAAGAAACTTACAGCGATTCAATGAAACTTACAACTGAAATGATTCAGTTTCCAATTGGGAATCTGGTTCATGCAGCACTGCCTGAGACACATCACTTGCAAATTAATTCATTTGTGGGATGTAGGCATCACTGGCTGGCCAGCATTTATTGCCTGTCCCTAGTTGCCTTTGAAGAGACTTTGTAGCGATTGGTACAACTGAGTGGCTTGCTAGGCCATTTGAGAAGACAGCTGAGAGTCAACCACATTGTTGTGGGTCTGGAGTCACATGTGGGCCAGACCAGGTGAGGATGGCAGATAAGTTAGTGAACCAGATGGATTTTTCTAACAAAACAATCAACAATGGTTTCAAGATTATCGGTAGAATTTGAATTCAAATTCCACCATCTGCTGTGGTGGGATTCAAACCCAGATCACCAGCACATTAGCCGAGTTACTGGACTAATATTCTAGAGATACCAGCAGTGTGGCAACACCTGCCCCGACAGCCCCAGACACACCAGTTCCCTCCATCACTGCTTCAGACGTCAGATCAGTCTTCCTGGGAATCAACCCAAGGAAAGCGACAGGCCCGGATGGTGTCCCCAGCCGAGCACTCAGATCCTGTGCGGACCAACTGATGGAGGTATTCACCGACATCTTCAACCTCTCCCTCCTACAAGCCGAAGTCCCCACCTGCTTCAGAAAGACCACCATCGTCCCCATACCTAAAAAAGCACATGCAACATGCCTTCATGACTACCACCCAGTACCTCCGAACTCAATAATCATGGTGCTTCGAAAGGCTGGTCATGGCCCATGTCAACTCCAGTCTCCCAACCCGCCTCAATCCCCTACAATTTGCTACCGACACAACAGGTCCACAAAGGATGCCACATCCCAAGCCCTGCACTCATCCCTGGAACATCTGAACATCAAAGACACCTACGTCAAACTCCTGCTCATTGACTACTCTCCGCCTTCGACAGCATTATCCCCTCCAAACTGATCTCAACTCCGTGGCCTTGGTCTTGGCACCGCCCTGTGCAGCTGGATCCTCAGCTTTCTGACCCACAGACTGCAATCAGTGAGGATAGGTAACTGCCATCTGTGGACTCCATTTACATGGCTCGATGCTACAGAAAGGCTGCCAACATCAAAGAACCCAGTAATGATCTCCTACCACCTCCTCCGTCAGGCAGAAGATACAGAAGCCTGAACACTTGCAGCAGCAGGTTCAGGAACTGCTTCTTCCCAGCCATTATTGGACTGTTGAACGGACTCTAGCCTCAAATAATGTAGCCTGCAATGTAACCTGTATGCCTCCAAGTCTTTTTGATCTGTACATCCTTTGCTTGCTGTGATCTACCAGCACCGCTCGGAAACAAAGTTTTTCACTGTATTTTGGTACATGTGACAATAAAATCAATCATAATACCACTAGGCCATCACCTCCCCTTAATATTCACAACTACAGTCAGTAGCAACTGCTTAACTATCCTGTTAGGCTTGTCACACATCTGCCTCGATCAGTAAAGCTGGAATTGCTTCAAACAAAGACTCCTAGAAACTTGCAGCCCTTCTTTCTGCGAGAATAGCTCACAAAATTATACTGCACAGAGCGTCAGGCCAGTTTTACTCCAGCTCACAAACACGTCTCTAGGGAAATAGACTACTAGAGAGGTCAAATCCACAGTACAATTCTATCCCAGTCAAGTGAGCAAGGCAGAACAGAAATGGAGTACAGTAAAAGCAGGAAGTGCTGGAGTAACTCTGCAAATCTGGCAGCACCAGGGTTAATGTTTCAAATCCACTACAAATCTTCCTCAGCACAAAAACTGAGGACTCCACTCCCTCTCACACCATGCCCTTTCAGCTGATCAAATAACCATCTGAGGGCTAATTAGGAGCAATCCAGTGGAAAGGTGGGGAATTGGAGAACAGAGGGAAACCTAGACCATTTGACAAGGTAGGCCAGGACACGATGAGGCAGAGGGCTTACAGCTACTGGTTCGAAGGGCACTTTCTCTCAGAATCAGTTTATTTTTAAATCAAAACCACAAAGAGATAAAATAATGCCATTAAATAATAAAAAAAAATACTGCCACTTTCCCAGCAGCAACTTCTGTTCCCTTCCATCCTGGTCCTGGCAATGGGACCTTTCCTTCCACCACAGTCTGACTCATTGTTGCTGCTGTAAAACACCCTCAAAACCTCCGCACATCCGACACTTGGAAAATGCAACAGGCAATGTAAATTCACAGACAACTGGGTGGTTAGCAAGCTTAGAATCACAGAATCCCTACAGTGCACATAGAAGCCATTCAGCCCATCGAGTCTACACTAACGCTCTGAAGAGCATCCAATCCATCTAGCGTGCAAATCCCTGGACACTATGGACAATTTAGCGCAACCAGTCCACCTAACCTGCGCATCTTTGGACAGTGGAAGGAAACCCATGCAGACAGGGGGAGAATGTACAAACTCCACACAGACAGTCGTCCAAGGGTGGAATTGAACCCAGGTCCTAGCGCTGTGAGGCAGCAGCGCTAACCACAGCCATCTTGCCATAAAAGTGTGTTCCAGTGTGCCTACCTCTGGGGCAGTTGGTCAGGGCTCAAAATCACGCCCTAATTTGTGCACAGACCACCTCACAGATGCCACCTGCTGGGAAATTGAACCCCGGTCTCCTGTGTGACAAGTAGGGATACTAACCACTATATTATCAAGGAGCCACAGGTAAAGTCGCCATAGTCTCAGAGGACCACAGGACTGTTCTCCCATCAGAAAGACAGGATTAGTGATGGTTCTCAGGCAAGATTGAGAAGACAGGACTTTCACAGGAACCTCAGCCACAGTGGAAACTGACCCCAGCTATTGGCATCAACTCTGCCTCACAAACAGGTCATCCATCCAACTGAGCCAAACTGAAAACATGAAACCAGCCTGTGGAGTTATAATGGCACAGGAGGAGCCCAGCCAATTCATTGTTAGCAGTCCAGTCAGTCCAATTTCCCTACTGTATCCCCAGAGCCCTGAAAGTTTATGCTCCACAAGTGCCCCCCAGATTACCATTTGAATTCATTGACTGTCACCAGTCCCATCCCTTTCAGATAGTAAGGCCCATAGTCATTAGCTCTTGCTGTGTTATGAAAGATCTCCATCGCATCCTCCCTGTATCTCTCAAAATCTTAAATCTGTGTACCCTAGTCATAAAGTTACTGCTCAAATTTCTTAATCTGCTGAATCAGGACAAAGAAATTCCTCCTTGTTAAACTTAAGACACTGCAGAGAGACAAATTAATTATTTGCCCAATCTGTGCAAGAAAAAAAAACGTCTGCAATAAAATGAGGAAAAAAATTCACTAACATTTTCAAAAAGGCAAAGACCCTATCAAAATGCTTTTAGATTACTCAGATGTTTAAACATACAAAAATAAAGCCCAGATAAACTGGTTTTAAATTGTTAGACAAATTACTAGTCTACAATACTGGGAAAAAAATTACAAAGAACAAGGAAAAATACAAATTTAATTGGATGTAGAACGTTGCAGAATGGTGGAAACCAGAAATAAAAACAGAAAATGCTGGATTTAAACAGCAGGTCAGGCAGCTTCTGTGGAGGAAAACAGACTTAATGTTTCAGGTCATGACTGTTCATAGGAACCGAACAAAAAATGGAAAGTTTCCATTTCTCTTCAGTGCTGGAAATAACAGAGAGAGATCAGATCAATAATGCACACTGCCAAAACGCAGCTCACTGCAACCTCCTGTCCTTGATCCCAACTCAGACTCACTGGAACAGCTATTTGTGGATCAATATCCCTCAAAAGAAATTAAATCTTTGATTCAGAACAAATAAAAAAGCTTTTTCTTGATCTTCAAACGGTTTTGAATCTGAACCATCAAAAATTTGACCCAAGAGAGGTTTCCCTCACTCGACATCAAATGCGCTGACTTATTTATTTTAGTACATCTTCCGCATAAGTATGCCAACACACAAATCAGAGGAGTAAAATGGAACTGCACCTTCCACTTGGCCTTTCCCTCTGAGCAAACAGCCCACCTGAGGACTCCTGAACCAACTCTTAACAGTTTCACCACCACCTAGTTAGGATCAGTTAACACAGTGCAGTCTAGAATAAGGACTAAACTGGAGACATACTTGTTCTAAGAATCAATACCATATTTAGCTATATTGAACAATTAGGAAATCCTGCCATGATTGCAACATCATTGATCAACACTCCATATACATTTATCCAAAAAAAAAGCCATCCTAATTTTGAACAGATTGATGTTTGGCTAAAATCCAGTAGAATCATAGAATCCCTACAGTGCAGAAAGAGGCCATTCTGACCATAGAGTCTGCACCATCGCTCCAAAGAGCATTCCACCCAGACCCAGACCCACACTCCCTCCCCACTCTACCCCTTTAACCCCCATTTACCACAGCCAATCCACCTAACCTGCACATCTTAGGACTGTGGGAGGAAACAGGAGCACCTGGAGGAAACCCACACAGACACAGGGAGAACGTGAAAACTCCACACAGTGAATCAGCCTGTCATAGACAGTACCACGAGATCAGGAAAATCAGTAAATATCTCTTCCAATAGCATACTGTTACTGAGGAGATAAAAACTGAAATTTAATCATGAATGAACCTTTCATTGGTAACTACAAAAGCCAATCAGCCTAATGGAAAGACATTTTTGACAGTTATTGCAGATAGATGACTTGAACATTGAAAATTAATTTGTCATATTAACTTTCTTCCCACTATCATAAAAGGCACTGTCCTCTCAGTCATTAGTGCTCTGATATTTTGCACCTTCAACTCAATATGATGGAGCTCAGTAACACCAGTCATTTTAGAGAATTTAATGTCAAATTTTACATTCTTTATAATTTTCACCGGAACTATGCCATTAAATCACTCTTGCACTTGGAATTTTGCTCTCATCATTCATTTCCACCCTGATCCAGAAAGACCATAATAAGAACATAAGATACAGGAGTAGAAGTAGGCCATTCAGCCCATCAATTCTGCTCCACCAGTCAATGAGGTTGTGGCTTATCTACCCTTCAGTTACTTCCTTCTAACCTACAAAACACAATTCAATAAAGTTTTAATAAATTAGGTCACAACAATTGATGTCTTAGGAATGGAGTAAAAAGAAGCAAACAAAAAACTTACTCATTACACAGCTTGCACTATACAATAATTGTTCCAACTACTCAGTATTCACTATAAATTATCCCGGTTTCAAGTTTATTCTCAAAGATGTTCAGATAACAGCTGCAAAGCATCTGAGCATTTCTCACACTTTAGGATGTTGTCCGAATCCTTGGTTGAAATGGTTGCCCTGTTACCACCCTATTCAAATTGTACAGTGTTGGCATTCTATGGAGAAGCCTCGGGCTTTTAAGAATTTCCTCAAAAGAATTTTAAAATTCTCAAAAAGTGATGCTTTCAAATCCCTACAGGTGCCCAAGCCTCCTCCTTCATCTCTAACTTTCTCCAGTCCTAAAATCTTTTAACAAAATGCACATGATCTGTACATCCTTGCTTACTATGATCTGCCTGCACTGCTCGCAAACAAAGCTTTTTACTGTACTTAGGTACATGTGACAATAAATCAAATCAAATCACTCCTCCAATTCTGGCTTCTTGCACATTCCCTGATTTTCATCATCCCCACCATTGTTCCTTCACAGCTGCTGCCAAAGAATTCCCTCACTAAACCTCTCCCCCTTTACCTTAAGATGTCCTTGCCTACCTACCTTTGAGATTATGGGCACTTTGTGCCAAACTATGTTTGGTGGACTACCTCGCGAAGCACTTGCAGTTTAGTTTACTAGTTAAAAGGTGCTATATAAATGCAAATTGTTAATGCAAGGGAAAGGACATGGCAACTCACTACCATGCTCCTAAGAATCACTTTTGGCACTAACATTCAAATTAGGAGTGGGAGTAGGCCACTCATTCCCTTAAGCCTGATCTGCTATTTAATAACGTGGCTGATCTCATTATTCCTACTTACCCCTGATAACCTTTCACCCTCTTGTTTATCAATAATCTAACTTTAAAATACTCAAAGAACTGCTTCCGTCATCAAGAGAGTTCCAAAGCATCGAGAGAAAAGTTTCACCTCATCTCCGTCTTAAATGGGCAATTCTTTCTTTTAAACAGTAACCCCAAGTTCTAGATTCTTCCACAGGAGGGAACAGTTCTTGTGCATTTCTCCTGTCAAGAGCTTTCAAGATCACGTATGTTTCCTACTCTTCTAAAATCCAGTGGATAAAAGCCTAGCCTGTGGAACATTTCCTCATTAAATGTATTAGTCTAATAAACCTTCTCTAAATAATACTGATGTCCTTCCTGAAGTAAGGGACAAATACTTGATGCAGTGGTCCAGATGAGGCTTCACCAATGGCCTGTGTAACCGAAGCATAATCTCCATATGTCTGTATTCTGTTACTTTTCCTAATTATTTGCTTTACCTGCACCTTAAGCTTTTGCAATTTATACACTGGGACACAAAGATCCCTCTGCATCTCACCATTTAGAATATTTTTCTTGCCAAAACAGGCAATTTCACATTTTCCCACCATTATACCCTATTTGTCAGATCTATACCCACTCAATTAACCTATCTATATCCTTTTGTAGCCTCCTTAGGCCCTCTTCACAACTTATTTTCCTACCTATCTTTGTGTCATCAACAAACTTATCAAGCATACCTTTGGCCTGTTATTCAATTTATCTGCACAATTGCAAACAATTGAGGCTCAAGAACTGATCCCTGTGGTACATCTCTTGTTGCATTTTATCAACCAGAAAAAAAAACATATTTAAGCCTACTATGTCTCGTTAGCTAGGCAATTTTCTGTAAAGAATGAATGGACTGGAAACATTAACAGTTCTGCTGAGTTTCATCTGCAATTTCTGTTTTTGTTGATTTCCAGCATCTGCAGTTCTTTATTTCATTCCATACATGCCAATGCTACCCCCTACACCAAGAACTTTCTGTAACAACCTTTGATGTGGCATCTGATTAATTGCCTTCTGAAAATCTAAGGACAGTATCTCCAACAATCCCCTTTAACCACTGTACGTATTATTTGACTAGTTAAAAAGATGCTACATGCTTCAAAAAAAAAACCAAAAAAAGGGTTAAAAATGATTTCACAAACCATGCTGAGTCTGCCTGATTATGCTGAATATTTCTAAGTGTTCCGCATTATTAAAAATCTTTAATAGTAGCTAAGATTTTCCCTGTGACAGTTGTGAAGCTAGCTGGCCTATTGCTTCCAGCTTTCCATCTTCCTCCCTTTTTGAATAAAGGGAATTAGACATTTAATGAGAACCTGTGAATTTCGGAAAATTACATCAGCTACCTGACTGGTAATTCTTTTGAAGACCCTATCAGGATCGAGCACATTTTTTTTTGTAAATTAACTGCTCCCCCCACCAACCCTAGACCTGCAAAGCTCAGTCCCTGAGAGTTTTCGTTCTGACCACTCGGGGGAGTTCCAGAATTCACAACAGCTTTAATAATTCGCATCGTTGCTCATATAATCTCCTCGAACTGAATGCAATTTTAGCACCAAACGTTTTTTTTGGGAGGGCTGGCGACTTTAAGGGAACATTACGTTACTTACAAATTTGGTGCACATGGCTACAGCAAGGTTGGAGAGGGTAGGGGAGCTCCCCACCCATAAAAAGAAGCTGTCCTTCATGCGGAGGACGTGAAAATGCACCGTCAGCTCCGACAGCTTCTCGCTGAAGTTATGCACGGACAGAGTCTGCCGGGCAGTCGCCCCGTCCTCTCCTGCAGCTTGCATCCTCTCAGCCGGCCTGGCGCTACAAGCACAAGCGGCTGAGCGCTCCCCGGGACTGACTGACTGACTGTCTGTCTGTCTGTCAATCACCCGGACGGGGACCCCACATTCTCTCTCTCTCTCTCCAGCAAAGACAGCGCTTCCTGGTCCGCCTCTTGTTGCTGCTGACTCACAGCTCAGCTCTATAATCTCAGCTACGGCCAGAGGGCGATGCAAGCATAGGACTGGAGCTGCAGATAAAACCAGCCCCGATTTTGCATCAACCTTTGTCAGGGCCAGTTAGAATCACAGAATTGTTACTCAGAACGAGTCTACTCAGCTCATCGTCCTACACCGGCTCTTCAGTCTCCTGAAATAAAATACAACTGAGGCAGATTAAGACTGGAGGCACAGCTACAGAGTGAAGGGACAACTGTATAGAATTGAGATGAAAAGGAATTTCTTCAACCAAAGGGTGGCGAATCTGCGGGTCTCATTGTTGCAGAAGGCGGTGGAGGCCAAGTCATTGAGTGAATTTAAGATAGAGATCGGTTGTTGATTGGTAAGGAAATCAAGGGTTACAGGGAGAAGGCTGGAGAATGGGGTTGAGAAACACATCAGCCATTATCACCTTTGCTTCTTTTGCACTTCACTTTCAATCTGTGACAAAAAAACTGGGACATGCCGATGCTGGAGAATCTGAGATAACACGGTGGATGAACACAGCAGGCCGAGCAGGAAAACTGACGTTCCCACTCTAGTCAGAGATAGTAGGAACTGCAGATGCTGGAGAATCCGAGACAACAAGGTGCAGGGCTGGATGAACACAGCAGGCCAAGCAGCATCATAGGAGCAGAGAGGCTCCTTCTTCAGAAATGGGGGAGGGGAAGGGGGTTCTGGAATAAATAGGGAGAGACGGGGAGGCGGATAGAAGATGGATAAAGGAGAAGATAGGTGGAGAGGAGACAGACAGGTCAAGGAGGTGGGGTTGGAGCCAGTAAAGGTGAGTGTAGGTGGGGAGTTAGGGACGGGATAGGTCGGTCCAGGGAGGATGGACAGGTCAAGGAGGCGGGATGAGGTTAGTAGGAAGGAGATGGGGGTGGGGCTTGAGGTGGGAGGAGGGATAGGTGGGAGGACAGGTTGGGGAGGCAGCCTCCAAGCTTACTTCTTTAACCGTGAATCTAACCCTCCTTCTACTGACCCCTTCTCCCGCTTCCAACACACCCCCTCCTCCTGGACACCACCCCAAGGCCTCCTACCCTCCCTCGACCTCTTCATCTCCAACTGCCGTCGAGACATCAATCGCCTCAACCGCTCCACCCCTCTCACCCACTCCAACCTCTCCCCCGCAGAACATGCAGCCCTCCGCTCCCTCCGCTCCAATCCCAACTTCACCATAAAACCCGCGGACAAGGGAGGCGCAGTTGTAGTATGGCGCACTGACCTCTACATCGCCGAGGCCGGACGCCAACTCTCCGACACCTCCTCCTACTGCCCCCTTGATCATGACCCCACCCCTGAGCACCAAACCATCATCTCGCAAACCATCCACAACCTCATCACCTCAGGTGACCTCCCACCCACGGCCTCCAACCTCATCGTTCCCCAACCTCGCACTGCCCGCTTCTATCTCCTTCCCAAAATCCACAAACCTGAATGCCCCGGTCGACCCATTGTCTCCGCCTGCTCCTGCCCCACCGAACTGATCTCCAACTATCTAGACTCCATTTTCTCCCCCTTGGTCCAGGAACTCCCTACCTATGTCCGTGACACCACCCACGCCCTCCACCTCCTCCAGAACTTCCAATTCCCCGGTCCCCAACACCTCATCTTTACGATGGACGTCCAGTCCCTCTACACCTGCATTCCCCATGCAGATGGCCTTAAGGCCCTCCGCTTCTTCCTGTCCCGCAGGCCCGACCAGTCCCCCTCCACTGATACCCTCATCCGCTTAGCCGAACTCGTCCTCACACTCAACAACTTCTCTTTCAATTCCTCCCACTTCCTACAGACAAAGGGGGTAGCCATGGGTACCCGCATGGGCCCAAGCTACGCCTGCCTCTTTGTAGG